TTTGAAGTTAGTTTCCTAAAACAGACTGAATTCTTCAAAAAAAAAAAAAAAAAGCTCAATACCCAGAGCAAAATGGTCTTACTAGTTTATCTGGACCATTGTTTGACTCAAATATCTTCAGGAACCAGTTTTTTTCTCAAAAGCTCAGGGTTCAAGGGGACACCCAAAGGCAAATATCCCGTGTGGGTTGCCTCGACCTCCCTGAAAGCTGGAAATCTGGATTCCAGGAGGATTATATACAACTCTCTCATCATTCTTTCTTTTGGATCATGATCTTGTTATAGAATCTTTTATCAAAAATGCTCAACAAATGGTAGCTGGGCATCATCTGGTTTTTAAGATCCCAGGCACCATACAGCGAACTAGGAAATAAAACAGAAACACTTAACAATTATATTAGGCCAGTTGTCTGAAATAACCAGTGAAACCATGACCCTAAGGTCTCTGAACCAAGGACACAAATCTCATGAGGGGTTTATACGTAAGCAGCATCAGTAACTGCTTTTCATGTGCCTCAACAGCAGCTACATTCTGCAAAATCTCAGATTTAGTATTAATATAAATACAGCAACATTTATCTATTAAGGCACAAACTGTTTCTTAAGAGACTAACAGGAAATTTAATGCTGTTCTATTTTGTAAAATCATAGCTCAAATTTCAGATACTTCTCTGGTTATGATATTTACGGCTTTGTTAAGTTTACCAACAGGAACTTCTAATTCAAGAGTTACAATATCTAAACCCATTAGTTAGATAATTTAGGAGAAAGGAGAATGATTTCTTATATCCAGAAATTAGGACCTTAAAATATCAGCAATATTTAAAAAACCATAGTTTCCTTTAGTTCACTCAGTCTTATGTAGTTAATTTCTGTTCCACATGATTCTGGATCAGCTGCAGTCTGTGAGCTCATCAGCTTCTGCATAGGAGTTCTGGAAATTTTATTCAGTCTAGTCACAGTCCTTTTAGCAAGTCCAACATAGTCCATCTTTTTGTTGAGATATTTTGGTCAAACTTTTTCAGCAAATCAGCAAAGTAAAAACTTATCTGCAGATGACAAAACTTAATATGGCCATAATTAATTCATAAACATAATATTCTTAATAATGAAAGACCTGATAGAAATTAATTATAAGCCCAACATAAAGGCCAAATAAAATCAGTTAAAAAAACTTCAGATAAAAAATATTTCTAAATATAGCCATTAACCATATTCAAAGAGCTTCAGATATAATGCATAATAATTTTGAGACAAAATACCATATAGTCAGGATATATTAAGAATATACCAAGATTATCAAACCTCTAAATACCTGAATAGTAATAAAAAAAAAAACTTTATAGGTAAATGATGTGAATTCTCTAATCAAAACATTGGCTTTGATAATGCTAGATTCAAAAAGATATAGTTGTGACCAAGTTAGCAATAAATAATAATAGAGGTCACTGTGAAACAATACTTACCTTAGCTTTCTTTTCTAAAAGCCATGCGGCTTAGTATTCAGACTCAGGAATCTTATTCTAATGAGAGGCCAAACCTTTTTCTTCCAGGCATATTACACAAAGAATATATTAACCCTTTAACTC